ACGCACTCAAGAGAAACGACCCCTTTCTCACTACTACTGCTGCTCAGTGTTGCCAATTTGGGGATTTTGTCGCCAAATTTAGCTACTTTCTCATTGTAGCTGCGACTTTTTTTTTTTTTTCGATGATATCCGAATCGCATTCATACTTAACGCATTCAGGCTGTGCTTCAGGCTGTATACTCTCATAGCGCAGCGGGGTTAAGTTAGTTTTGTTTTCGATATTCGTGACACATTCAGCGATAAACGGCAATAACTCCAAAACGACTTGCCCTAAAAAAATCTAAACAGCATTACCAACTAAAGGGCTGAGCTGATAATATTTCACAACCTTCTTTTTAATTATTTTCGCTCGATATAATAAGCACTGCCACGCAGTTGCCGTCGCAATGTGCAATAAGACGGGAGAGCTCGCTCACTGCGGAGCTTTCGACAAGGGACCGTGGTGAAAGTGCAGTTTTTCTTCGTTATTTCCTATAGCTCAGTGTAATAGTGTTTTTGTAATAGCTTTTTTGTTAAATGGCCTATAGACATGAGACCAGTGTCAATCAATAGAGGGGGACAGTGGACATTTTTCACAACCTTCCATTTTACCCAAAGTGGATAATTAGGGAATTGCATGTCCAAAATTTACCTTCTTTTTGTAATAACTTTTTACATCAGGGAGACAGAGGCATGAGACCAGTGTCAATCAATAGACAGCGACAGTGAACATCTTTCACATCCTTCCATTTTACCCCTACTGGCAGAAAAGGGAATTGCATCTCCAAAATTAACCTTCTTTTTGTAATAACTTTTTACATCAGGGACACAGAGACATGAGCCCAGAGTCTTTCAATAGAGGGGGACAGTGCACATTTTTCACAACCTTCCATTTTACCCCTACTGGCAGAAAAGGGAATTGCATGTCCAAAAGTTAACATTCTTTTTGTAATAACTTTTTACATCAGGGACACAGAGACATGAGACCAGAGTCTTTGAATAGAGGGAGACAGTGGACATCTTTCACAAACTTCTATGTTACCCCTACTGGTAGAAAAGGGAATTGCATGTCCAAAATTAACATTCTTTTTGTAATAACTTTTTACATCAGGGACACAGAGACATGAGACCAGAGTCTTTCAATAGAGGGGGACAGTGGACATCTTTCACAACCTTCCATTTTACCCCTACTGGTAGAAAAGGGAATTGCATGTCCAAAATTAACATTCTTTTTGTAATAACTTTTTACATCAGGGACACAGAGACATGAGACCAGAGTCTTTCAATAGAGGGGGACAGTGGACATCTTTCACAACCTTCCATTTTACCCCTACTGGTAGAAAAGGGAATTGCATGTCCAAAATTAACATTCTTTTTGTAATAACTTTTTACATCAGGGACACAGAGACATGAGACCAGAGTCTTTCAATAGAGGGGGACAGTGGACATCTTTCACAACCTTCCATTTTACCCCTACTGGTAGAAAAGGGAATTGCATGTCCAAAATTAACATTCTTTTTGTAATAACTTTTTACATCAGGGACACAGAGACATGAGACCAGAGTCTTTCAATAGAGGGGGACAGTGGACATCTTTCACAACCTTCCATTTTACCCCTACTGGTAGAAAAGGGAATTGCATGTCCAAAATTAACATTCTTTTTGTAATAACTTTTTACATCAGGGACACAGAGACATGAGACCAGAGTCTTTCAATAGAGGGGGACAGTGGACATCTTTCACAACCTTCCATTTTACCCCTACTGGTAGAAAAGGGAATTGCATGTCCAAAATTAACATTCTTTTTGTAATAACTTTTTACATCAGGGACACAGAGACATGAGACCAGAGTCTTTCAATAGAGGGGGACAGTGGACATCTTTCACAACCTTCCATTTTACCCCTACTGGTAGAAAAGGGAATTGCATGTCCAAAATTAACATTCTTTTTGTAATAACTTTTTACATCAGGGACACAGAGACATGAGACCAGAGTCTTTCAATAGAGGGGGACAGTGGACATCTTTCACAACCTTCCATTTTACCCCTACTGGTAGAAAAGGGAATTGCATGTCCAAAATTAACATTCTTTTTGTAATAACTTTTTACATCAGGGACACAGAGACATGAGACCAGAGTCTTTCAATAGAGGGGGACAGTGGACATCTTTCACAACCTTCCATTTTACCCCTACTGGTAGAAAAGGGAATTGCATGTCCAAAATTAACATTCTTTTTGTAATAACTTTTTACATCAGGGACACAGAGACATGAGACCAGAGTCTTTCAATAGAGGGGGACAGTGGACATCTTTCACAACCTTCCATTTTACCCCTACTGGTAGAAAAGGGAATTGCATGTCCAAAATTTTCCTTGTTTTTGTAATAACTTTTGTCAGCAGAAAGATGGAGGCATGAGACCAGTGTCAATCAATAGAAGGGGACAGTGGATATTTTTCACAACCTTCTAAAATTAAGATTCTTTTTGTAATAACTTTTTACATCAGGAAGACAGAGTCATGAAACCAGTGTCAATCAATAAAGGGGGATAGTGGACATTTTTCACAACCATTGTTCTACTCTAGTGACTGATTAGAGAATTGCATGTTCACAATTAGGTCCCAATCCAGTAGAGCCGCAGGGCCCTATTGTTGTTCTAACGATTATTATTATGTTTATTTTTATTTGCCAAGGTTTTGGAGTCTTTTGGGGCCGTTAACAAAAATTTTGACCATTCCAAATCATTTGAACTTTGTGTCTGTACATCATAAATAGAACGAGGCAGCAGTTTACTGTAAGGGATTTGTCATGTCGCGTAGCGCTGCATCCAGTGTATAAAGCATAACTGATTTAAATAGGTTCTATTTTATTTTGTCATACTGCACCGGTTGCATACAGTGTACAAACTGTGTAAAACACTTAACAAGCTTAAAATTGCATGAAATTTGACACACACACGTCAGTATTAATGATAGTTTGACACAGGCAAAAGCTCATAAATGGGCATGGAACAGGTGCTCTATAGCGCCACCTTTTGACAAAAGTGGGTGGGTTACTTTTTCCTAAAGTCACCAAACTTGGTACATATATTATTTTCATTGCGCCGGACAACTTTCTCATTTACAGTCATTAGCTACAACCAACAGAAAGTTGGCTATTTTGCTTTGAATATGGATAAAAAAAACAAAAAAAAACTGTGAATTAATGCATACTCCTCCTTTGTCAACATGATGCCAAGATATTAAAGATTCTAAACTGCTAACAGATTTTGGATATCTTGAACGATATTAAATGGTGATTTATTAAAGTAACATTTAAAAAGATAACAGTAATATTCTAATATCTTTAAAGTGCATTATTCAAACTCTCCACCAATAGTTCACAAACATAAATATGAAAAACAAGTACAGTATATATATGTATATATATATATATATATATACAGTGCACAGCATTCATGATTACACTCTCTGTTTGATTAAATATAAAAGGTTGATATTCTAATATAATTCATAGAACGATGGCAAAATTAATATGTATTAAAAATATTCTTAAGAAAAACAGAGAAATATATGCCATTGATACCTGTAAATTAGTACACCCTACATTTTATTCAACAGTGTAATATTCTACTACTTAATATGTCCTCCATATTTTTTTTTAAGTACACTGCTCTGACCCATCTTGGCACTGAGTGTACAACTTCATGACAAATTGTCACATCTGTCCTGTTTAACTCCTGGAGGATGAGCTCCTTAAATGCTCCTTAAATACTTAATGGAGAAGAGGAGAGAAGTATTCTCAGCTTGTCAGAGCTGCTCACACTTAAATGTGATCAAAAAACTAAAAATAGGAAAGAACATGTTTGTTTGGAAACCATTTACAATTTAAAAAATAAACCTGTATTTAAATTTAAGAATGAAATCATTTACCTGTTGGGATTGTGTTGACACTCTGTGTAGTTGGATTGCTGAGCTCCAGAAAATCAGTAATGAGGTGCTTTGACAGTTACAGATTTGAAAAACGAAAGGTCTGGAATAAAGAACCCTAAATTCTAACACCAAGAACCAATTCAGCATAAAAGTGTTCCTCGGGATGCTTAGGTGCTAAATAGAAACGTTACTACTCCCAGCTCTGTGTGGATTAATTCACATTTATTTTTATATCTCTTTTCACAATACACATTATTTCAAATCAGTTTAACAGGAAATGCATTAAAAGATTTTAAAGAAGTGTGGAGTACTGGGCTGTGCTGCCATATTCTGTGGTAAATTTGCTTACAAGCAGTAAGGGTCTTACATGTTTACCAGAAAAATCCTGTAATTCCACAAGGTTAAAGTGTGGCAGGACATCATTAGCATCATTTCCCATCCCCCCAACACTGTCACTCACAACCAGAAGTCAAGACTAAACCAATTCACCTTGGTGACCACATAATCGTTTTGTATTACCTATTTTTATTAGCCATTTCACACAATTCAGAAAAACAAAAATGTGCAGGAACTATTGGCCTGTATTTATAAAGACTTAAAAACACATGTGAAATCTGAATGTCACTTTTGTAACAATGCATCTGGTCAGTGACGTAAATATTTTTTGAGTCCCAAAGCCAAAGTCAATTGTCCCCCTCTATTGATTGACACTTCGAGTCTCAGTCTCCCTGAATAAAAAAGATCTTACCAAAAATGTTTCATTGTGGACATGCAATCCCAGTTGCCACCAGTAGGGGTAAAAAGACAGGTTGTAAAATATGCCCACTGTTTTTCTCTATTGATTGACACTGGATTAATGTCTCTGTCTCCCTGATAGAAAACTCTATTACAAAAAGAAGATTAATTTTGAACATGAAATTCCATAAACAGCCACTAGGGTAAAATAAAAGGTTGTGAAAAATGTCCACTGTTCCCCTCTATTGATTGACACTGGTCTCAAGTCTCTATCTTTCAGCTGACGAAAGTTCTTACAAAAATAAAGAAAATTTTGGACATGCAATTCCCTTTTGTACCAAAATGGAAGGTTGTGAAAAACTGTCTACTGTCCCCCTGTATTGATTGACACTGGTTTCATGTCTCGGTCTCCCTGTTGCAAAAAGCTATTACAAATAGAAGGTTAATTTTTGACATGCAATTCCCTAATCATCCACTTGGGGTAAAATGGAAGGTTGTGAAAAATGTCCACTGTCCCCCTTTATTGATTGACACTGGTCTCATGCCTCTGTCTACCTGATGTAAAAAGTTATTACAAAAAGAAGGTTAATTTTGGACATGAAATTCCCTAAACAGCCACTAGGGTATAATAAAAGGTTGTGAAAGATGTCCACTGTCGCTCTCTATTGATTGATACTGGTTTCATGTCTTTGTCTCCCTGATGTAAAAAGTCATTACAAAAAGAAGGTTAATTTTGAACATGCAATACCCTTTTCTACCAGTAGGGGTAAAATGGAAGGTTGTGAAAGATGTCCACTGTTGCTCTCTATTGATTGACACTGGTCTCATGCCTCTGTCTCCCTGATGTAAAAAGTTATTACAAAAAGAAAGTTAATTTTGGACATGCAATTCCCTTTTATACAAGTTGGGGTAAAATGGAAGGTTGTGAAAGATGTCCACTGTCCCCATCTATTGAATGCCACTGGTCTCATGCCTCTGTCTACCCTGGTGTAAAAAGTTATTACAAAACGAAGGTTAATTTTGGACATGCAATTCCCTAATCATCCACTTGGGGTAAAATGGAAGGTTGTGAAAGATGTCCACTGTCCCCGTCTATTGAATGCCACTGGTCTCATGCCTCTGTCTCCCTGATGTAAAAAGTTATTACAAAAAGAAGGTTAATTTTGGACATGCAATTCCCTAATCATCCACTTGGGGTAAAATGGAAGGTTGTGAAAGATGTCCACTGTTGCTCTCTACTGATTGACCCTGGTTTCATGTCTTTGTCTCCCTGATGTAAAAAGTTATTACAAAAAGAAGGTTAATTTTGAACATGCAATACCCAAATCATACACTTGGGGTAAAATGGAAGGTTGTGAAAAATGTCCACTGTCCCCCTCTATTGATTGACACTGGTATCATGTCTCTATCTTCCTGCTGAAGAAAGTTATTACAAAAAGAAGGTTAATTTTGGACATAAAATTCTCTTTTCTACGAGTAGG